AAAAAAAAAAAAAAGAATATATTTGAATCAACGGAAGGTCAAATTAGTAATTCTGAAGCATCTGTTAAATACAAGACGGCTAGAAGAGCAATCAGAAAAACAAAGGAGGGGGATGCAAAGACGGCCTAAGATTCATGTGGGGAATGACCTGCATGTGATTGGAATTCCAGAACACGAAAAGACAAAAAAAGCACAGAGAAAACTGCCAAAGAGTTGTTGACAGAAAACTTAAATAACGTGAGAAATGACAGCATTCAGGAAGTTCAAAGAACCCTCAACAGAACAAACCCCAAAAGAAGAGTCACAAAAACATCATAATCTAACTTTCCAAAACCAAACACAAGGAAAGAATCCTGAGAGCAGATGGGAAACAGGAAAAATTAACTACATGGGAGAAACAACAAAACTAAGCTCTGATTCTCAACAAAACCATGCAGCAAAACAATGAAAGAACATATGTAAAACTCTGAAAGAAAAACCACCAACCAAGAAATATATATATACCCACTATTTAATGTACTGGTTTTTTTTTTTTGGAATCCTGGTATGGCACTGCAGGATAAGGACTGTCTGAACTGCAAGATTGGCAGTTCAAACTCACCAACTGCTCCTTAGAAACCCTGTTAACGGGTCAGAGTTGGAACCAACTTGACAACACTAAAAAACAATTTATTTTTACCTACAATAATTAAGTCAAAGGTCCTTCTTGCATCAGTAGCATCTTATAACCTAGGGCAGGTGATAGTGTGACCATATCAGTTTACAAACTCTATGTGCAGAAAACTTAGAGCAAAATATTTTCTTTCTATCTTCCTGTCATACGACATCTCTTCTCCCCTCATTATCATTAACTCCAATGCATTTGATATCTCCAGAATTTAATTCACATATAACCCTACTTTTCAGAAATATGGCCAAGTACAAAAATACATACCATTTTCTTTCCAGAAGGTTCCCAGAGAGCAACATCTCCCCATGATGTGTTATAGAAGTACTTCTCTCCTGGATCAAAGGCTTTAAGGTCCTTTAAAAGAGAGAGAGAGGACAATCACTGAAAACCCAGAAGATAAAAGATTTCATTACAAGCTCGTTAGATCACAGAGAGCCTCAGAAATCTACATGAGAAATGAAAATTAAAGCCCATCAATCAAATGTAAGAGTGCCCATTAAGTGAAAGCATTGGTGGTTCAGAGGCTGCAGGAGGTGAGGATTCTAATTCCTGGCTAATGTACCTCATACACCGCCACCACATACCTAGCTATATGATACTACCATGGTTGGACAGACTTCAGCAGAGCCTCCAGGCTAGGACACATGAGAAAAAAAAAGCCTGAAATCAGTCAATTAAAATTCTGTGGATCACAATGGTCCAATCCACATCTGACCAGAGGAATGGCACAGAAGCAGGCAGCATTTCCTTCCCCTGCACACAACACCACCACGAGGTAATGGTCAGCTCCACAGTAGCTAATATAACCACCACCCAATAAGAATGAGAACCGATGAGAAGACAGGTTGGAATAATTAAGGTTAAATTCTAAGAAATAAATAGATGAAGCTCCTGAAAAATGATTTTTAGCCCCAAACAAAATTATTATGTAGACTATATCTCAGCAAAGCCTAGATGTATGTAAAGATCCAAAACCCATGTAGTTTTTTTCACGAGGTCAAATAAAGAAGCAAAACAATCCTTCAAAGTAAAAGAATGTTTATCCTGAACATACTTTTTGAAACTATAGATTACCACTCTTTAAAAAATCCATTTAATACTAAAGTAAATAATGCTTATCAGGACAGATTATGAGGGTTGGAAATGCAAAGGTAGA